CCCCCCCCCAACATGGAGCCCATCGCTCGGGGCTGTGCGGGCGCCTTTCGCCGGCCGAGGTCGGCCCTTTCCGACTTTGCCTCTGACCGGCCAATCGGTGGACGGCAAAATAGCGTCACCGTCGAGGTCGGGGTCATGGATGAGGGGAGGCTCTCGCTGGGAAAAACCAAAGGCGACATTGCGGAAGAGACGCAGATTTGTCCCACTCCGTTTCGGGGCGCCCCTTTCACAGTCATCGCCGCGGCGCATGAGTCCCGTCGCCCGCGCAGTTGGTTCTGAGCGACAAACTGGGTTTCGAACTCGTGAGACGTCGTAACCGCCTCACCCTGACGTCAACAATGGCTTTGATTGCGTTTGCGCAAAGGGGAATTTGCCCCGTTGGACAAAATCCAACCGCTGTAGCCAGCCAGAAAAGCCGACACGTTATGTGCAAAGAGAGCGGCGCGGCGGGCCGCATCCGGCCCCCGGGGCCTCGCCTTTGACTCCTGCGCTTTCGAGTGTAAATGTCCTTCGGCGCTTCGTGGCCAGCGCAGAAGGCCTCGCCTGCCCCGACCATCCTCGGCCGCCACGCAGAGCAGCCTTTGGGCTGAAATCCCAGCACAAAAATCCAGGAGCCGTTGTCCGCCCACTTTTGGGGCCGCGCCCCCAAAAGGAATCCCTGCAGCCCTAAAATCTGCCATGATTTGTTGAATGTACGTCGCTTTTTGACAAGCTCGAGAAGTTCCTGTGTTCAGAGCAGCGCCCCCTCCCCCCCCTCAACAAGGTTGCTCACACCTCATCCCCGTTCCCCAGCAGCCTCCGAGCGCTCGTACACTCACGCCGTAAGGCATCGGCAGCAAACTCCGGTCCGGCAGGGTCGCCGTCCCGTTTTGTTTTCCATCTCTCCCTGTTGCACACACACCCACACACACCCACACGCACACACACACCTGCTTCAAATGAAGCCTGATATCCACCATGTTCATTTGAAGCGGTCGGGTCTCTTGCAACAGGGAGAGATGGAAAGCAAAGCAAAGGCCCTCTTTGGACCCGTGCAACGTTTTGCTTTTCATCTTCTACCACCTGGATACCGACGCGCTGCCATTCCCATCGCCGGTCCTCATTTTTGCGGCTGCAGCCGGCCAGCCGTTCAATAGATTGACCAATGAGTGGATGGGAGTTTTGGGTGAGTTTTGCGCCCGCCGTATGACGTTGATGTGCCGATAGTGCGCTCCAGGCACCCTTTTAATTCATCACTTTGGATTTTTCCTTTGACGAGGGGATTTCGAGTGACTTTCAACCAAGCGGCGCTGTCGACAAAGCGCCGCACGTGGCCACGCCAAAAGAAATCAGACAACAATGTTCAAGAAAAGGATCATTTAATGACCAAGATGGTGGAAAGCGCAAAAACAGTCCAAAGCCAAAGAGTTTTCAAGATGTCCGGGCGGTGAGGTAGGGGGTTGGGGGGGGGGGTCTCATTCCAAAGAGTGGCAAGCGGCCACAAAAAAGGCTTCCTCCCCTCCAAGCCTGCGCTTCATTCTCGCCACCTCCCGCGGCGTCCTGACCGACTGGAGACGCTCGACAGATTGGCCGACTCCAAAGTCGAGTGCCTTCCGGTCATCGATCATCTTCAGAGCTGAAGAATCTTTGGATTTCCCTTCCTTCCACTTGTAAGGTTTGAATCCATGGCCGCACCGCGGCCTTTGCGTAGGTCGCGGCACGCCGTCGCAACGGACACAATCAATAGGTTTCTTTCTCAAAGCCGATCCGCTCTTCCGCCGTCGCGGTTCAATTTCGTGTTCGATTGAACGCCTGCCACCGCAAGGAGCCGGCCGATCTCCGACGACTCGTCGCGCTTCGGCTCCTCAAATTGACCTGGAGTTTTTGGGGCTGCTTTTCTTCCCCCTCCATGACCACACGGCAGGCACGCGTGAACGGGTGACAGTGTGACCCATCCAACCTTAAGACAGCAAAGTCGTCTAAGGCAGGGGTACCCAACCGCCGGTCCGCGGACCGGCATTTGGTACCGGGCCGCACAATAAGAACTTAGATTAATTCCGTTGTATTTATTTTGGAATACGAAAGATATATTTTGAAAAATTACCCGATTCTCCGTTACATCTGTCTGTGTCACTCTTGACGCGTCAAACCACGCTTCTCCATCACGTGACAGATTACGCTAAAAACAAAACTCCGGAGCTTGCTAAATGAGTAAAATAACCTGCTGGAGATCGCAAATGACAACGGCCTTAAAAGTACGTTCGAGACAACAACTCTGCCGGTGTTCTGGATTCAAGTTATGGCTGAATACTCTGAGATCGCCATAATAGCACTGTTGCTATTTCCGACATGCTACCTGTGTGAGGTAGGGGTTTTGTGCAGCAACGGCGACTAAAACAAAATTAAGTAGTAGACTCGACATATAGCACACACTTCAGGTGTCATTGTTTCCTATTACCCCGAGATGGGACCGCCCGGTTGCAGAAAATCAAGCCTGTGGCTCGCACTGATTCAGCATTGTGGTGAGTTGACATTTTCATGCACTTTGAATTTGCGTTGTATAGTATTTTGAAGGCATTAAACATTACCATAGCGATCAGTGTTGCAGCCAGATTAGACGCTCCTCGTGTTTATTATCTCTCGAAAACACCAGTGTTCATGCAGCTCTTACCATATTATTTTGTAGTATTTATCCGCCACACCTTAAATGCCGGTCCGTGAAAACATTGTCTGATATAAACCGGTCCGTGGGGCAAAAAAGGTTGGGGACCCCTGGTCTAAGGTTTCATTTTTATGACACCGACGCATCGTGCGACCGATGAGCAACTCAAAGCAAACCCAAACTCTCGAGCCCGGCATCCATCCACACAACACAGCTTAGTTGCATTCCAATCAGCCCACGAGGGAACAGAGGACAACATGTTTTTGGAGGTGGGGGGTGGTTTATTCAAAGAAAAGGATGCTTGCTGCCAGTTTACTTCTTCTTGGAGACTCCCACAGTGCGACCGCGGCGGCCGGTGGTCTTTGTGTGCTGACCGCGCACCCGCAGGCTGGAAGAGAAAGCGAGTTCAGAGGAGAGCTCCCCAGGGTTCAAAGTTCACACGGACCGACGAGGCCTCACCCCCAAAAGTGGCGCAGGCCGCGATGAGCTCGGATCTTCTTCAGCCTCTCCAGGTCTTCTCTCAGCTTGTTGTCCAGGCCGTTGGCCAACACCTGAAAGCAGGGCGCACGCATCAGAGACCGCTCGACAACGCGCAGCCAAGTCATGATGGAGAATTGCGCATCTCGAGTGCGGGACCAGTCGCACGACACGCCCATGAGGGAAGCAGCAAGGTGAAACTCTTCCATGGCCACGTTGACCACTGTTTGGATCAGCAATTCAATTCGGCGTTGCTGCCATCACTTAAGCTAAAGTGGACCAAATCAATGATCAAAACAGGTGTCAATCATCCATTTGTTGACGATGAATCGGCACGCCTCTAGTTTAGGGTGGACTCATTTCGTGATTTCCATCAAACGCGGCTTTTCACCTGTCGCGGGTGGATCTGCTGGAATGGGAAAGGTGTCATTTCCGTTGACCCACCTGACTGAATTTTCCGTCCTTGACGTCCTTCTGCCTGTTGAGGAACCAGTCGGGGATTTTGTACTGACGAGGATTCTGCATGATGGTCACCACGCGCTCCACCTGCGGCACACAAAGCGCTCAGTCCAGCGCCCGCCGCTGAGACGAGACGCTCTCGCCCGGCACACTGTGCAGCGCAGCTCACCTCCTCCTCGGTCAGCTCGCCGGCCCTCTTATTGAGGTCGATGTCCGCCTTCCTCAGCACCACGTGGGCGTAGCGTCTGCCCACTCCCTGGCGACAGTCCCCGAAATCAAATACAAAAGCAATGAGCTCCGCCGGGGAGCAGAGAGCAGCGCCGGCAGCCACTTGGCCGTCTTGCACCCCCACCCTACCTTGATAGCAGTGATGGCAAAGGCGATCTTCCTCCTTCCATCGATGTTTGTGTTCAAAACACGAAGAATGTGCTGGAACTTCTCCGGGATAACCAAAGCCTACACAAACAACACAGCGAGTGTCACTCGATGACACGCGACTGCCACAACAACGCCGGAGCTTCGGTGTACATCGAGACTGCGAGTCGACGTGAACGAGCCACTTGGAACGCTTAGCCGACGCGGTAACGTTGTTTTAGCGGCGAGTGCGAGTTCGCCTTGAAAGTCCACAAATTCAACTGGTCATCTGCTCACACACATGACGCGCGCCCCTCAAAGAGCGTCATGCCGCAGATGAACGTCTATTTGCAACGGATGGCGTCTGATTTGGATCGTTCGGCAGAACCTCACCATCTTGCAAGCCGCTTCCACGCAAAGAGGAAGAGACGCAATTCTCGCGACAGTTTGTCCGCGCTTGGGCGGAAGTCGGTCCTTCACGTTCAATCGTCCGATGTCTTTGCCAACTCGGACAACATAATCTCCTCTTTAACGTTTGCCTGGCAGAGAGCATTCTTGCATGCATTTAGCTGTTTTCTCCTTAATTTGGCGAATGAAAATGCTTTCATTAAGTTCGTCATTTTCCCTCATTTGTTTGTCGAGTTGTATAATTGGGTATTTATTGGAAAGTGGAAAAAACAAAATGACACATCCGAGTAAAATAATGAATGTTAAAATGTACCGCTTATCAAAAAAAAAAAGAATCGCAGAAAAATACAACATGAACTTAATTTCGACGATAAGCTGTATGTATTTGTATTCATACCCGAAACGATGAAACCTTTTGAAATTGTTTTAGCATATTTGCGATTTCAAAATAAAATGGCCACAAACATTTGCCCAACTCTAGCTTGGTTAGAATGTCAGCCACAACAGCCGACTAACACATCATTTTCAGAATTCAAGACAACGTGTTAAAATAATCACGAAATATGCAAGTACATCCTGAAAAGGTAAGATTTTTTTAAGGTGGCGCATTAGCGAAAAACGTGTGATTTTGCGTTTTGTTTTTGCTCGGGGTTTTTTTTTTTTTCGTGCCTGCGAGTGACGTCACTGCAACAATGGCGGAGGCTGCAGTGGACGCGAACACGGCGGAGAGGATGACACAAGCGGCCATGTCCTTCTTTCACGACGAGGTGATTTAAAAAACTGTCGAGCGCTAGTAATGGCGGCGGCGTCGTCGTCGTTGTCTTTGCTGTTGTTCTTCGTCCAGCAAGCCTTCCTCTTTCTCATTCGCCACCGTTCTTTGGCGTTAGCAAAACATGATGATGTCACGAATTGGCCGGGTTTATTTTTTGTTGTCATTCGCTTTCCACTTGAGTGGCACATGCAGCGTCGACTCAGGACACCACTTTGCAGTGCCGTTGTTCTCGTTTTTTTGCCAAGGAAATTTCCTTTCCTATCTTGTCTGTGAGCGAAATGAGCTGACCCGGACGTACTTGTTCACTTGGGTGATGGCGGTCAGTTAGACCACGCGGAAAAAGACGGATAAGATAAGATAAGAAATCTTTTATTAGTCTCGCAATGGTAAATTTCCCAATTCACAGTAGCAAAGTTATGAAAGGAAGAAGTAGAAGAACAAAATATATGAGCTGTTGGAAAGGCAGAGTTTTAGAGTCCAGAATGAATAAACACTACACAAATGAATATATGTCGGATTGAGTGAATCGGACCCAGTTAGCAGGCATTTGGACTTGGTGGAATTCATGAAATGAGCGCGGGATGCCATGGCAAAGACGAGCCCTCATGGCGGGGTCAGAGTAATGCCACAAGTCACTTGGTGCCAAAACAGGGCTCTTCGGTCCTGTTCCTCGAAGGCCCCTATCCAGCCTGTTTTTGATCTCTCCCTGCTCCAACACACCAGAGTCAAAGGATCGGGATTGTTATCCAGCTTCCGCAGACCTTGGTGGTAATCGGATCCTTTGAATCAGGTGCGCCGCATCAGCGGGAAATCGCCCCTCGCAGAACAGGATCGATGCCCCCCCCCCCCCGGCCAAAAATGCACGCGCAAGCAGCCCAATCGATGACCATGCATTTTGGGCAGGACTCTCGAAAAACAGAGGATTCGAGATACCAATGTGCTCATGGAAAGAGTAAGAAAAGGTTGCTTGTCTCCCCCCCCCCACAGATGACCGACGGGGAAATGGCCCAGCTGCACCTGGGAGAACTGGACCTGACGACCGATGAGCTGATCTTGGATGAAGTGGACCGTAAGACCCATCCCGGCACACACCCAGTCCAGCCACTCCAACACAAGAATACAACCCAGCTTTATTTGTCTCGCACTTTCACAACAGCCGCAGCTGTAATACAGTGTTTTGCGGAACATTTATCAATGTGTGGCCTTGTGTGCGTGTATATCTGTATTTTTGTGTGTGTGTGTGTGTGTGTGTGTGTGTGTGTGTGTGTTTAAGGCTGACTTGTTGACATGGCGTCTTGTCCCGCAGTGCACATCCAAGCCAATCTGGAGGACGAGCTAGTCAAGGAAGCGTTTCAGACGGTGAGCCTTTCCGTTGGTCCTCCTTCACGATGGTACCGCGTCTCTCTCGTGACCTCGGCGGTGACCTGCTTTTTCGGCAGGGCGTGGACCTTCGCCAGTACTCCAAACAGGTGGAGGCGGAGCTTGAGCAGATTGAGCAGGCATCCATCAAGGACTGTATCCGAAACTCGGTGGGCCATTGGGTGGGGGTGGGTCGATCGGCCGGCCCCAACCTGCAAACAGCGACGCTTGGCGTAAATGCCTTCCGGCGTTTGTCTCTCGACGCCGAGCTTTGTTTTCAGATTCACACAACTGGTGCAGGGAGGTCTCATTCAAGATGTTTATACGTCATCTGCACAGCAGAAACGCAGTCAGAGCACCGAGTCATGGAATTCTTTCTTTGAGCCAAAGTAACCCGCTTTCAGATTGAACCGCTCTCGGCCGTCAAGATAACCAAAAGAAAACAACAACAAAAGCGTATCGACGACCCCCGTCTTCGGCCCGAGCGAACAGCGATCCGTCACAGCAAGTTGTTCTTTTTCCTGAGTGTGTGTGTGTGCACGCGCGTCATCAGACATCAAGGAGAGCCAAAACATCGCTCTGCTGCACCAGCAGATCAGTGCCTGTGACGCCATTTTAGAGGTGGGCCTGGTTTCACGAGGGCGCTCCGCTGCCCCCGTGCCCCGGCTCTGACCCGCGTTCGGCCGCCTTTGCAGCGGATGGAGGAGATGCTGAGCGGCTTCCAGAGCGACCTGTCCTCCATCAGCAGCGAGATCCACACGCTGCAGCGGCAGTCTCTCAGCATGAACGTCCGTCTGAAGAATCGCCAGGCCGTCCGCAGCCACCTCAGCCAGCTGGTGGACGAGCTGCTGGTGCCGGGGGCCATGATCTCGTAAGACGCCGCGCTTTGCCTCTGCGGGTGAAATTTCAGGATGAAATGTCTGGGAAGAGGGGAGGGCGAGCGGCTATACGCTGTACTCGTCATGAGTGTGAAAGTGAAAAATACTGCAGAGTTATTGCCCCAGTTTAAACATTCAAGTTTTCACACCACGGGGCCTCGAGGTCAGTCTCCCCAACGTTTGGGAAGGAGTATCTAAAAGTAGCCGCCGAGTTCCTTTTGTGCGTCCCGCCCATTTTATTTGATTGATTTAATTAATTTTGTTTGTTTGTTTGTCCAGCACCATCCTGGACAGTCCGGTGACGGAGCAGCACTTTGTGGAGCAGCTGCATGAGCTCAACAACAAGATCAACCTGGCCAAGGAGCTCAGCTTCCGAGAGACGCTGGCCTGCTGCGACATCCAAGACGTCGTGGACCGCCTCAAGGTCAAGGTGAGCTTGCGCGGCCTTCGTAAAAAGCGTGGCCGCGACCGGTCGCTCGGGCCGGTCACCACGTCAAACGCTGGCAAGAAGTCAACAGACGCTGAAAAACCATCGTGACTGTTCCGTTGAAAGTTTGGCTGAGGAAGAGAGTCCGCAAATGGCAAGTGGTTTGACAACATAGTGACTGAGTGCTGCACATCAGTTTTCATCATCTCTGCTAGGCGTCCAAAGAAAACATTTTGAGAAGAGAATGAGCAAACGCTCCACAAGCTGTTAGGTTGCATTGACAGGAGCAGGAGGGGGGCGTCCGGAGTCGGCGCCGTCGGCTGACGAGGCCACCAAACAGCCGGCGAATTGTCCCGCTCTTGGTTTGCGCCCACTGCACCCGAACGGCACATTGACGGTTTCTCGCCGCTCGCCGGCTTCTCGTTCACCGTCCACCGGGTTGTTTTTGGCGTCGTCGTGTCGCGTCACGTCTTCATCATCAAATGTGGGTTCACGTCATGTGTTTTTCCATCATTGGGAACTTTGCGGGTGTCTCCATAACAGGGTCGACCTGTCGAGCTTGTCCCGTCGACTTGCCCAGCCCGTGACGAGGAAGCGTTTTGTTCCCTTGGCGACCAGAGGCAGGGCCTGAGATTGCGCCTTCTGGAGAGATTGTGTGCGTGTGTGCGTACGTGCGTGTGAAGGGAGTGCAGAGTGTTGGAACATTTTCTGCTAATGGAGGCAGCATTTTGAGTTGTTCCTCGGTTTCAAACCATGTGAATTGACAATGCTGTCAAAAGAGAGACAGAAAAGTTAGCTCTCTTTCGTCTGCACACCCCTGGGCAAAAGCTTGAAAATCATCACGTCCAGTTGCTCGCCTCTATGGAGCCCTTGGTTCATATAGTAACAATCAGAACCCCCCAAACCGGCAACGGGAACAACTCCAAACCCCTTTGGGGGAAAACGGAGGGAGGGGCACCGATGTGGGGCGGGGGGAAATCATCCTTCAAAAGAAGAGCAGATCAAGCTGAAATGATTAGCCGACATTTGTCGACCAAAGACTGCCTCTGCGAAAGGCACTTTTTTTGCCCGCCGACACTTCTTGGCTTCGTGTTCTGAATTGTGAATCTTTTTGTTTTTGCCCTCCCTTCTCCCAGGCAGTGTGCAAGATTCGCGAGTTCATCCTTCAGAAGATCTACTCGTTCAGGAAGCCCATGACCAACTACCAGATCCCGCAGAACACTCTGCTCAAATACAGGTGGGGGGTGTGCGCACATGCGCGCGTGCGCCTTGCGCAACTCGCGTGAACACCTGCGCGCGTGTGCGTGCAGGTTCTTTTACCAGTTCCTCTTGGCCAATGAGAGGACGGTGGCCAAGGAGGTGCGAGACGATTATGTGGACACCATGAGTAAGATCTACTTCAGCTACTTCAAGTCGTACAGCGGTCGGCTGCTCAAAGTGCAGGTGAACAAACTCGCCCACGCACAAAAACGCAAGCCCAATGTCCTGTGTGTGTGCGTGTGTGTGTGTGTGTGTGTGTGTGTGTGTGTGTGTGTGTGTGTTTGTATGTGTGCGCGTGTGCATTTGTGTGTGTATGAATGCAATGCAATGCGCACACACCCTTTAATTAGATAGCAGGTGGCTAATTATATTTAATTGACTGAAGGTTTTGTCTTGAAAGAGTTCCAGACATTGAAAAAAAAGCAACAGGTCGCCGTAAAGGTGAACTCGACATGTGACGGCTGCGGCCGGAAACGTTCCTTTTTCCCACTGAAGACCAAGCGCAGGTGGGCGACGTCTGTTCTAAAGTGGCCATGTGAGAAACTCGGGGGGGCGCTGTTGGTGGTCCTGGTTCCTTTCAGATGTTGAAATCTGCCTGTTTAGCAGGACAAAGGCAAGAAAGTATCATCCGTGTGACACACACACACACACCCACACACACACTGGGCGCTGCCTTTTTTTTTTTTTTTTTTGTCATTTGGGAGTGGGGACTGAGTGACTGAAACTGCGGTGACGATCATTTTGTCTTTCCTGACTGCTCAGTCGCTAGAATTATCGCTTTACCCCCCCCCCCCCAAAAAAAAAAAATCAGCTGATGGAATGCTCCTCACGAGTACAACCGCAGCGCCGAGTCAAACAATGTAACTCGATTGCTTCTCACATGGACCACCTTGATCGTTGGGCTCATTCGGCTCCTCGAGGACGAGTTTTGATTGGACGGTGAGCGTCAAATTCCGAGGGGCTTCTCCCCAGTGGACGCCACGTCGCAAAGGGCGTCGCTCTCCCTCAAAGGCTCACTTCAAGAGGCGCTGACGGAAGCTTCTTGCTTGTAACACCACATCACTGGGAGAAAAACACAAAGAATGCCTCGCTTGGGCGCACGCTCCTTTTGTCCAATTCAGAAGAACAAGGTGTTTGTCTGTCTTTGTCCCGCATAGATGAACATGGATACATTTGTTGTCAGGCGACAGTCATTTGCAGATTGTGAGCCATCGACAGTCCTTTTCACTTGGACAATTACAGGACAAAGACCTGCGAATCGCTGCTGTGAATCATCGTCATCCTCTCTCGCTCTCTCTCGCTCTCTCTCTGTGTAGTACGAGGAAGTCGCTAACAAGGATGACCTGATGGGGGTCGAAGACACCGCCAAAAAAGGTGACACAAAAAAGCTGTGTGTGTGTGTGTGTGCGTGTGTGTGTGTGTGTGTGTGTGTGTGTGTGTGTGGTCTGATGACCGCTTGGTATATGTGTGCAAACCTGTGCGCGCACGTGTGAGTTTCATGGTTGAAGTCGAAGACACCGCCAAAAAAGGTGACACAAAAAAGCTATGTGTGTGTGTGTGTGTGTGTGTGTGTGTGTGTGTGTGTGGTCTGATGACCGCTTGGTATATGTGTGCAAACCTGTGCGCGCACGTGTGAGTTTCATGGTTGAAGTTGTACACAAGCATGTGAAGAGAAGACAAGAAATGCCTGGAGCGTCTTGAATGTGCGGGTGTGTCCACCCGAAAAGTGCTTCATCACCTAAGGTGCAGCAGCGCAACCGCACAAAAGCTCCTCTGGGCACAAGCGCGGATGCGGTGGTGCCTCGACGGACAAGTTGAAGTGGTTCCGCGGTGGCGCTCGTAAGCCAAAGCACTCTGATCCCAAAGTGGCATCTGACTGTTAATCCCTGCCCACCTCGGAGAAAAGGCTGACTGTCTTTTGGTCTCGGGCGGCGGGGCTCAAGTCAAGCTTGTCCTTTCTCCGGCGAGCGCCGCGCGACACAGCCGTTCGTGGCCTCGGTCACCTCTCGGCCGGATGACCGGAAGGCGCTTGACTTTGGAGTCGGCCGGTCCTCGGCGCGGCGTCTCCGGTCGGTCCGGAAGGCCGCCGCCCGCCTCTCGAGCGGTACCGGCGCCACTCCCACTCTGGCCTCCTTTCGCCGGCTCATTTTCGAGTTCTTTTCAAGATCCTCCCATTCAAAATGGCGCGCTCCCACCGTGCCTCTCTCGGCTCCTCCGCCCCAAACTCGATGAGAGGTAGCGAGAACCAAGCGGAGGCTGAGAGGAGACGGAGCCCTTTTCTGTGGCCACCCCGCCCCCTCACTGCCAAACTCATTTGGAGTCTCCGGCTGTCTTTGTCATTCATGTCGTTTGTGGTGTGAGTTGTTTTTGTCGCACGTACGGCAAGCACTTGGTCTGCAGCGGCGCTTTGTTTCAAAGTCCCTCAAAATTGACACTTGAGTAAGCACCGAGACTCGTCTGGTGTGATTTGGCCTTGCGCTGAGCGATTCCCATTGCAGTTTTTGTCTCTTGGCCGCAGGTTTCTTCTCCAAACCATCTCTGAAGAGCAGGAACACCATTTTCACTCTGGGCCAGAGGGGTGCCATCCTGAGCCCCGCCGAGCTGGAGGCTCCCATTCTGGTTCCTCACACGGCGCAGAGAGGCGACAGCAGGGTGAGCGCCGCCCCCGCGACGACTTTTCCCAAAGTCTCCCCAAGTTTGGTTTGTTTGGTCCCCCCCCTATCCACTGGGTGTGTCTTGGAAAGCGGCAGATGCCATTATAAAAGGACTTCCGTTTTTTGAATAATGAGAGCGTGGGAACAGTATTCTGCGTCATACGTCACAATTTCTGCCTCTCGTATTGCGGGCGTCGGTCTGATTTTTCTCGAGCTGGAGAAAAGCCACATGCGATACTTGATTTACACGGAGCTCCAATAAAGTGAGTCTGATCAAACCGCGGGCCTCGCAGTCATCGAGAAGAGCGAGCGAGCGGCTCACGTTTTCACAAGGCTTACTTGGTTTCGGCGCTCACGTCGGGCCGGCGCGTGTGCGAGAAATGTGAACGCTGCCTCAAGGTGTGATGGAGAATGTCAAGAATGGCGGCGGGCGTGGCGCGCACTAACGCCGTGCTTGTGCTCCATCCTCAGTACCCGTACGAGACGCTGTTCCGCAGCCAGCACTACGCCCTGCTGGACAACGGCTGCCGGGAGTTCCTCTTCCTGTGCGACTTCTTCATGGTGACGGGAAATTCCGCCCTGGACCTCTTCAACAGCATCATGGGAAAGACACTCGGCATGTTCCTGGTGCGTGATGCAACCTCGCTCGTCTTGTCACGGGCCCCGTTGAGAAAGTGTGGAAACGAGACAAAAGCCAGTCAAACCGCAAGATGGGGTGCCCTGAAAAAAGGAGTCGGCCCCTTTTCTCCAATTCTCATTCGAGACACAGAGAGATCCACATAGAGAGATACTGTCATAAAATAAGAAAACCTTTATTTGTCCCACAATGGAGACATTTGTAATCTCCAGCAGCAAAATTGAAAGTAATAGTCGATGGTTTTCGACAAGGAAAAAAAAAAAAAAAGCCACTGACTAGCTGCCCCCCGAACTGTGACCTCACGCTGAAGCGTGCTGTTGTGTGCACGCAGAAGAGTATGTCGACGTACGTGGCGGACTGCTACGACGGCATCGCCGTCTTCCTGTGCATCCACATCATCCTGCGCTTCCGAGCCATCGCCGCCAAGAGGAACATTCCGGCTCTGGACAAGTGAGCGCGCCTGCGTCTGCGTGTTGGCTGGCCGGGCCCTGACCGCCGCTGTGTGTGTGTGTGTGTGTGTGTTGGTGCCTGCCTGCGTACTTGCGTCAGGTACTGGGAGGCGGTGCTGGAGCTGCTGTGGCCGCGCTTTGAGCTCATCCTGGAGATGAACATCCACAGCATCAGGAACAGCGACCCGCAGAAGCTGGGGCTGCTCGACAGCCGGCCGCACTACGTACGTCACGCGCACGCTCCGCACGCCGCAGACGTCCTTTTTTCCAAGGGGCCGGCCTGTGTTGGCTGGACCGTGTGAAAGATTTCAAATAGTTGAGCTTCAGCATCAAAGAGGAATTGACTCAACTAAAAAGAAACACATTTTGATGACCAATTTTCAAGAAAACAAAATGCGGCAAATATTACCCATGTTATTTTACTTTTTGGATTTATTGGTTGAGACAGTCTTAAACGCGTGAAATTGCGTGTGAGAGACAAAACACGATGTGGCCTGATGTCTGAAAATGATGAGCATATGATGAAAATTCCCAGTCGAGTTTCTGCCGGCGCCCACCTCAACATCCCCATATTTTGGATTTCTGGCCATGAAGCTATTTTTTTCCCTCTCTGTTGACAGTCACGAGAGGGGGGGGGGGCAAAAATCCCAAACACTTTGGCGATCGTTTTGCTATTTTCAGAGGTTGAAGTGGAAACGTCGATCGCAACTTGGCGTACTTTGCAGAACCAAAGTCGCGGTCGAGTTTAGCCTCTCCCTTTTCGTTCTTTTCGTTTGGGCAGTTCCAGAATGGTTTCCGTTTTCGTCGATTTCGTTGTTTTGTGTGGCGGAGGTGTTGTTGAGTGCCAATGCTCGTCAACACGGTGCCGATTTGCACAGGTGGAATGAAACGGAAGCCCAACGGTTGGTCTCTCGTCATCCAGCTCGGGGCCGCCGCGTTGGGCGACGTCGCCCTCTGCCGTTCAGCGAAACGGAGGCGTGAGCTCGCCCGGAAAACGGGACGGCCCACTTACTTCCCCGCTTCGATTGCACGAGCCGGCAGAACGTCGCCGACGTCGAGTTGAAGCGAACCAAACCTGTTCAAATAACGCTCGGGCCGTCACGCCGCCGTCGCGCTCGTCATCGCGGCGTACGCGGGGAGGGGATCCGACGTTCCCCCGTCGCGCGCCCGCCTATCGGTCACCGCGCGCCCGACACGAACCCGAGACACGGGCGGGCGGACGCTCCACATCCGAGTCGCCACTTCTTCCGGATCCTTGTCTCACGTCGGCCAAAGTGCTCAGGGACTTTTGGTATCCAAGCGCATTGATTTTATTTTATTTTTTTTCCCCCAAGCGCATTGATGGCCGTACGGTTTTGTGCCTGATTACGCTGCGCTATGTCGGCACGGTTGTCGTTGGCCGCTCCCCCAGCGCGAACCGAGGTGTCGACGTCGACGATGTCCTCATTCCTTGTGTGTCGTGAACATACTGTACTTGGCCCACAAAGAGGATTTTCCGATTTGGCGAACCCGTTTTCCGCGTTTGTTCGTGCGAGTTTGGCGAACGGTTGTGACGTTCGTTTCATTTGCCTGCAGAGGGCGATATTGCCTCACCACATGGGATGGATGAAAATGGATCCACAAATGCATTTGTCCCCCGAAGACAGTGGGCACCCGCACCTTCCTGGATTTATTGCAATAGTTTTTTTTTTGTTGTTGTTGTAATTACAGTCGTTAATTTATGGGGGGGGGGCGTTGTAATGTTTGTGGCAAACGCCCATTGGCGGTATTCCCCTGGCCATTCATTGGGGAAGTTAAAAAAAGTGTGCGTGGGGTTGGGGGGTTCCTTTTGTTTGTTTGTTTGTTTTTTTCTCCCAATGCTGTTCCTGGGTTTTTGCCAAGCCGGCCAGCGTGCCACACGTCACGCGCGCATCTGCCGTTTCAGATCACGCGTCGCTACGCTGAGTTCTCGTCGGCCGTTGTCAGCATCAACCAGACGTTCCCCAATGAGAGGATCAACGCGCTGCTGGCTCAACTGCAGGTGAGCCGCGCCGCCGAAACGGGTCGGGCTCCGACCCGAACGGGCCGTGACGCTTTCGCGCGTGGCTTTTTACAGGCCGAGGTGGAGAACTTTGTGCTGAAGATGGCAGCCGAGTTCCCGTCCAGAAGGGAGCAGCTCATCTTTCTCATCAACAACTACGACATGATGCTCGGCGTGCTCACGGTGAGTCCAATTGGAGACGTCCAAAAAGAGCAATCAACGACGACGACCGCCACCGCCGCCAAAAAGTCGCGACGACGACGCTGGAAGTCGACGCTGTGTTTGTCCAGGAGAGGGCAGCAGACGACAGCAAGGAGGTGGAAGGCTTCCAGCAGCTTCTACTGGCCAGGACGCAGGCGAGTGCTGTTCTTGCCAAACGCGCACGTGCCGCCCAGGCTCCCGCCGAAACGCTCTCTGTCACGCCGCCGGCAGGAGTTTATTGAGGAGCTCCTGTCGGCACCCTTCGGGGGGATGATCGCCTTCGTGAAGGAGGCCGAGGCGCTGATGGAGAAAGGCCAGCTGGAGCGTCTGAAGAGCGACGAAGGTGAGGGGCGGCCGCTTTGCCGAAGCCGAGTGCAAATACTCCGGAGAGGCTGGCATTTCTGTTTCACGAGTGAATGGGAATTGGAAATCAAGTCATTGTTGCATTCCTAGCGCACACCTGCAAATTCTGCCCACATTTTTCACATAGCTGTGCTTTACTCGAGGATTTCTTTTGGTGCGGACCTTGGATGCTTCCTTTGTGCTCCTCACTTTGTGTGTACAGTATTCCGCTTCGCCTTCCACAATAAAAACAAAAACGGCACGGTGATGTTGAGTCACCGCTTTGACTTGACCAAAGTATTTCGAAGTAGTGAAGAAGCGAGGGTGAGTACTTGTGGCGCGCTTCCTGACGCCTGTCTGCGTTCAGCTCGTATCTGCCAGCTGGTGCGAGGCTTCTCGGGCTCGTGGAAGCAGTCGGTGGAGGCCATGAGCCAGGACGTCATGAGGTCCTTCACCAACTTCAAGAACGGAACCGGCATCATCCAGGTGAGAACGAGGGCGGGGGCAGGAGCCGCCACTGCTTGGCACCTGCGTGCCGCCTACTTGACGTCTTTGCCGCCGCAGGGCGCCCTCACCCAGCTGATCCAGTACTACCACGGCTTCCACAAGATCCTCAGTCAGCCTGCGTTCCGCAGCCTGCCGGCCCGCTCCGAGCTCATCAACCTGCATCACCTCATGGTGGAGGTCAAGAAGCACAAGCCCAACTTCTGACCGCCGTCCGCTTTACAATCTTGTGACGAAAATCTGTGACACAAATTCCATTTCAGTGGAATTGAAATAGAAAGTAAAAAGTTGTGCGGGTGTGCTCACTTTGGACTCAGTTACTCACGCACTACTCACTAAAAAAGTGGGCCGACGTAGTTCCGCAAGTGTTCAGCGCACTGCACTACAGGATAAGATAAGAAAACCTTTATTTGTCCCACACTGGGGAAATTTTCAACCGATTCTCAAAATGCTTGTCGATGAGTTTGATGGTCACTTGCCACACTTGGCCTACAAATTGCTCCGTGTTAGCGAGTAGAATTTTTATCCTGTCACGATGAGGTGCCCAAACTACTTTTTCGCTTTCCTCGAGGGAAGCCAGCATAGCCAAAATGACACCGCCGCCCCCTACCGCCCTGGAGGCTGCACGGCTCTGGACACATTCTCTGAGCCAGAAGCTCCTTTCCTCTGCTCTTGACAGAAGAACGGCTAATCTCATCAAACGCTGTACGCCGAAGTCAAAAGTACCGGGAAACTTGCGTCTGCTTCCGACACCTCGGGGCCGGTGTGCGAATCGATAACGGCCGTCGGAATGTGGAGTCGTCTAAGCAAACGTGATTGAACGAGCTTCAAGTAAATCGCCTTGAATGTTTGGTCTGCTGCGACCACCATGAGTTCCGCGCGCGCATGACACCGCGTTATCCCCGCGGCGTCTTGCAGGCGCGCAAACTGGGGGCGGCGCTGTTGGGGGATGCTTCTATTTTTTTTTTTTTTTGCCGCGTGTGTGTGCGGGTGCGAGTGTGCGCGCCTTTCGGACTTGCTCGGGCTTGTGTTTGGGTGTTTCCATGCTGGCCGCGGAAGAAGGAGAAGGCAAAAAAGTTCCTCCCGGACGAGCGAAGACAGAAATGGAGCCGTCAGAATTCCCAAAAGACTTGCTCGGTGAGAACAGCCGCATTCCGGGGGCAAGCGGTACTGCTGCCGGTTGTTGTAGTTGTTGAGCGATCCCCAACTGGGTCCCAAAGCGGCTCCTAAAGCCGCAGCGACCCGGCTACCTGCAGACCCGGTTGTCGGCCGTTGACTGGGAACTGTTCGTAGCCCGAAGGCATGCCCAACACCGCTTGGAGGTCGTTCCCGAGTTGGGCGCTGGTGCTGGTGGTGTCTTGCAACTTTGGCAAAAGTTTGCCAGTCACACGCAAAAAGAATTTTGCCACACATTTCATGTTGTGCATGAGGACAAAACAGATGCATGGCTAGATTGATTCGATGTTTTTTTTTTTTCTTCGAGAGTCGTTTTTCTCCCTGTTCCTTTCCATGTGTGTGTGTGGGCGGGGGGGACTGGGCGTGTCCTGACATGTATGTTCCTCTGGCTAGGCACAATTTGCCATCTTTCGAATTGAGTCCAAACACACCTTTTTGTCCTGTTGGACAAAATCGTCACCTTGCAGTGTGCGAGCCTCCAAAGATTGGCCAAGTGTCAACATCTCAAATGGCCCCCAATCAGCGAGCGGCGGCTTCGCTTCCGCTAGCACAGCACTTGATTGACTTTGCAGCGTGTTTAAATCAGGGAGGTGCGATCCTCTTTGAAAAGAGCCAAGTGCTCTGCCAGGGGTTAAATCCACGTCACGTGATTTGCGGACGCACGCTGTCAGCCGGCCGGCTTCTCGATATTTTCTCGTTTATCGTGGGGTTGTTGTCCACGTATTCTCCAAATCTAATTCGAAGCTTCCCGCTTATACCGTATGTCGTCATCGTGCAGAGAGCGTTCGGGAGGCGGTGGGGCCGAGCCTCAAGTTGACCCTGAGCTGCCAACTTCAGCTGGAGGTCAAAGGTGAAAAGGTGGACAACAAAGTGCTGGTGAGTGACCTTTGACCTTCGCCACCTCACGGGTCTGTCTTCCCTTGCTGTGCGAGGCCTCATGGAATGGAAATTCAGCCGGCTCTTCTCGGTTTGCGGCTTCCTCGTTCGCGGAAGCGGTGCACATCGGTGAGGGTTGCCGGCTCAATTCGATTCCATCGGCCGGTGCCCGTGTGAGCTTCACGCTGCCATTCGCACTCTTGGTCTCGGGCGACATTCCCCAGAAAGTGAGCGCACGTGGGCTTGTGCGGACATGACCGCTAGCGCCCGCGTACCACGGTGGACTTGCGCCGAGGCGTGCGCGGACACGTCAGCGGTCGAGGTGGCGAAAGCCTCCTGGCCGACGCCACCTTCTGGTCATGTGACAAAGGGGGCATGTCGTCAAAAGAACGCCTTACTCTTGAAACACAAGTGCTCTTTGCTAATTGGCCCTACCACAATGGTGTGTGTGTGTGCGTGTGTGCGCGTGTGTGTGTGTGCGTGTGTGTGTGTGTGCGCGTGTGTGTGTGTGCGTGTGTGTGTGTGTGTGTAGGCCTTGGCATCACATCGAGCCTTCCTGCTCTCAGCACGCATCCCTTCCAAGGTCAGTGGATGTCTCGGTGCGAGTGTGTATATGTGTTTATGTGTGGTGGCGTGTGCAGGTGGAGCACTCCTTCAGCTACCTGGACATTCTCGGTCTCCATAGCAACAAGCCCACTGAGGTGAGATGTCAGAAATGACAAGAAGTGGCTGTTAGCAACACGCTAGCTGTTAGGGTTGCGTGCCACATTTCAAAGTCACACTTTCTTCTTGAGTGCTCTCCATGGAGGACGGTCATGAGGCCATGTGTGTGTGTGTGTGTGTGTGTGTGTGTGTGTGTGTGTGTGTGTGTTCATGTTTGTGTGCGCACGCGCAGGTGCTACTGGAGTGTGGGCGGGGCCCTTGCACGCTGTGGTTTAGTTCCCAGGAGGACAGTGACCAGGTCATCACCCATCTGGGCTCGTGTCTCACCAGGATCTGCCCGGACACGTGAGTAGCAAGCAGGGGGGGGCGGGGGGGCTGTGACTTTCAGGCTGAAAATGTCGCTTTGGTGGCCTCATGCTTCGCGGGTGCTCTGTCTGTCTCCCCCACCAGGAACCCGCTTAAGAAGTTTGACGTGGCGCCTTGCGAGCGACGGGCCGCCCTCCAGGCTGTCTGGGAGCAGCAGGACCCCGCCGACTTGGGCCCTTGCGGTACGGTCCCTTGGCCAGCGGGGTGGGGCTCCGGCGTTTTGATCGGCAAACAGACTGACTGACTCCAAGTCCTGTTTGGTCCAGGAGGATTCTCGGATCAGTACCGGGCCGTCTGTGACAGTCTCAACCTGGCCTACAGGGAGGAGGTCCAATGGGTCAGTGCCGCGTAGTTCTTGTTGACTTGTCCCTGCCCGGTCTTCGGTGTCGCTCGCTAGTTTGGCTGCGTTTTGGAATACGAACCGCGGACGGACGGCGTCACGTTCCGTGTGTCGGAGGCCAGTCAAACACGCCACCGTGCTGCATGCGAGCTTCCATCCGCAACCGAAGCAAACTGTTTTGCTGTTCGGGATTCTGTCTTGATCGTCACCTCGGCGAAATTGGATCACGCTGGAGCGGCCACTCATGGTGTGAACCGCTCCACCCGAAGACGATCACATAGGATTCTCGATCGAGATTTGCGCGCGTTGTCCAGCCAGCCATCCACACACTGCAGTACTCGCGTTGTTGTTGTGTCAGGATGTGGACACCATCTACCTGAGCCAAGACACCACAGAACTCAACCTGCATGACTTCAGTCACCTGGATGGCAGGTGCGTGCATGCGCGGCCGCCGATGCCGAGACCCGCTTCAAAAGGTCTCGTGCTTTGTCGCCATGATCATATTTTCCTATCGTGCACGGTCCGGTCCCGTGTTGCCGCATGTTTTGCGACCGCCGCTGCCTATGCTGTCTCCTTGCGTGTGGCACAGGGATCTGGTGGCCATCGTTGGCACTCTCGAGTACAACAAGTGGTTCACCAAGCTGGTCGTGAAAGATTGCAAGCTGGTAAGACTGCCGAGTGCCGGGAAGGGGGCGGGGGGTGCCCAGTGAAGGTTGACCTCCCTGCGTACGCACACACACACGCATGCGTGTGTGTGTGTGTAGTCGGCAGACGTGTGTGAGCAGATCCTGCGCGTGACATCCCGATCGAGTTGCCTGGAGGAGCTGGTCCTGGACAACGTCGGTCTCAGAAGGTCAGAGCGGGCGCAATGACGTTGACTCGCTTCTATGGCTTCTTTTTTTCCCATCTTTCCCTCCCTCTCTCCCCCCCACTCAGTGACTTTGCTCACAAGCTGTCCTTGGCGCTATGTCACAACCCCGCCTCCGCGCTGCACACCCTCAACTTGAGCAACAACTCTCTGGACGAGAAAGGTTCAACACACACACAGGCATGAGAAAATGTCCACAAATACATCACGTGTGCGTGTGTGTGTGTGTGTGCTTGAAGGCATGTGGGCTCTGGGCGCTCAGCTGGGCAAACTGGCGACGGGCCTGAAGAAGGTGAACTTGAGCAGGACCTCGTTGTCCCCCAAAGGTGCATCCCGTCCGTCTGTCCGTCGCATCCGCCGCCTCCCGGCGCCCGCCCCTCTCATGCGTGTGCGTGTGGGCGTCAGGCGTGAACCTCCTGGCTCAGGCGCTGCGTGCCAACCCCGCCATGGCCTCCACCCTCACACACCTCCACCTGGCGGGAAACTCACTCAGAGGGGACGACCTGCAGGTGGCGCGGCTGGCCTTCGCTGCGGGTGAGCCGCACGCTGGCGACATGTCAGCAACGTGTTTGTCTTGCTCTTCGCAGAACCTCCACCACTTCCTGAGTCAGGACAACAGCTTAGAAGTTTTGGATTTGGCCTGTACTGACTGTTCATTGGAGCAGGTGAACACTCGCGCGCTCTCGTTCCAACGTCTCCAATCGACTCATTGTTGGTGTGTGTGTGTGTCAGATATCAGCGTCTCTGCTCAGAGGATGTTTGAAGCGTCTACGTGTCCTCAACATGTCCAAGACAGTCTACTCTCACAGGTGAAACACATGACCAAGATGCGTAACTGTTGTGTGACGAGCATGACTACCCGTCACCGCATGTCGCCGAGTTCTCGCCGACACGTATCCAGTCGGTCACGTCGACCCTTGAAGCACCTGTACCGCCCATTCATAAACGAGGCCCGTGTTGCGTGGTCGCGCCTTCAGGAAGTGCAAGGAGGTGCCGGCGTCTTTCAAGCAGTTCTTCAGCTCGAGCCAGGCTCTGAGCTCCGTCAACGTGTCCGGATGCAGACTTCCCGCCGAGGCTCTGAAGTGCGTAAGGAGCGCCGGCCGATCGACCGACCGACCGATCGATGGACCGGTCCGTCCCCTTTTGCCGCGCGCGTCGAAAGCTCTTCACGCGCCCGCTGATGTCTTGTCAGGGCGCTGCTGCTGGGCCTGGGCTGCAACCCCAACCTGAGCGACGTGTCTTTGGACCTGAGCGGCTGCGAGGTAACCATCAAAAAGGCAACCGAAGGGCACACGAGCGGCCGCCGGCGTCCTGTCCCGGGCCGTCCCGCGGCCGAGTCACTTGAGCCGCGCTCTCCTTTGACTTGCAGCTGCGCTCGGCGGGCTCTCAGATTCTGGAGGGCTGCGTGGCCGAGATCCCCAACATCTCCAGTCTGGACATCTCCGATAACGGTGCCCGCCTATCTCTCCCCCGCCCTCCGTGTGGCATTTGCGGGTGTGCTCGCGTGGCATCTCTATGGCTACGACGGCTTCCTCCCGCGTTCGCAGGCTCGCTTCATTCGGAGACAAAGAAATGGCCCTTTGGTGGTTGTTTTCCCCGCGAGTGACTGGCGACCGGTCCGGAGTGCGCCCGGCCGGCCTCTGGCAATAAGTCAGCCGAGATCTGGCGCGCCCGAAACGGACGGATCGATTGTGATCTGCGATCAAACAAGGCTCATTAGCACCAGCGAATCCACCCGAGCCGGTCCTCATGGTCGTCTTGTCTACTGTCAGGTCTGGACGGGGACCTGAGCACCCTGCTGGTCTGGCTGGCCAAGAACCGCTCCATCCGCCACCTTTCGTTGGGCAGAAACTTCCAGAGCATCAAGTCCAAGTGAGTCCTCGAGCAGCAGCGGGCAGCGGCGGGTCGGCATCGGGGCGAGTCGCTTGACACTCTTGCCGCCTCGTGGCAGGAACGTGGCGCCGGTCCTGAGCGACCTGGTCCGTCTGATCCAGGAGGAGGAGTCGGTGAGTGAGCGGCACCTGCGTTCCGACTCCGATTGCGGCTCGCGGCTTACGTCGTTTGGCGTCGCCTAGCCGCTGAGCTCGCTGTCGCTGGCCGACTCCAGGCTGAAGGGGGACCTGGTCGTGGTCCTCAACGCCCTGGGAAGCAACACCTCGCTGACCCGGCTGGACATCAGCGGCAACGCCATGGGCGACATGGGCGCCAAAATGCTGGCCAAGGCCCTGCAGATCAACACCAAGCTCAGGTGAGCGCACGCTCCCGCCGGTCTCGTGCCGCGGCCCACGTTTTACTGCCCGCAGACTTTTTTGTCACCTTTTGTAGGACGCTCATCTGGGACAGGAACAACGTCAGCCCTCGGGGTCTGCAGGAAGTGGCGTCCGCCTTGGAGAAGTGAGTCACCTTCCGGGACGGACGGCGGGGATGTTGAAGGGACGCTCTGCCAGTCCAGGCCGGAAAGCGATCGGAGCCCGCACGTGCAGATCGGGTAGTCGGCCGTTTCGCGGTGGCCCGGGTGCGCTGTACTGCCACTCGCGTGGAGTCCGTTCCGCTCCGCCACCGATGGAGAATTGAAGCCGGGCGTCACCAGGCTTGTTGTTGCTCTCTGGTGCCTTTTTAACGGGGGGTGAGGGGAGGAACGTCATCGGGCAGAAATAGTCCAGTTGATTTTACGACAGTGACAGCTCGGATGGAGCCGGAAACCAACCGACACTCGAGCGCATGAGCGTCATTTCACGTCGAAACCGCCAGTGTGACTGCGATCGCTTGATCGGCCGACGACGCTCAGACGCGTTTTCTCGCCGTCAGGAACTTCACCATCCGCTTCATGCCCGTTCCCATCGTGGACGCCGCCCAGGCGCTCAAGACCAACCCGGAAAAGACGGAAGATGCTCTGCTGAAGTTTCCGGCCTTTCGGATCCTTTTTTTTTTTTTTTTGCTCAGGGATTCGCCGAGCGGCACCCTTCGACCGTGACCGTTCGCGTGTTGCCTCCGCGTGCAGATGGAGCACTTCCTGCTGAGGAACCACGAGAGCCGCAAGTACCTCCGGGAGCAGGCGTACCGGCTGCAGCAGGGCATCGTCACCAGCGCCACGCAGCAGGCAGGCCTTGGCGGGCGACCCCGAGCGGGACCGGGTTCTCGCTGACCCTCCGCTCCTCTGTGCAGATGATGGACACCATGTGCGTGAAGGTTCAGGATCACCTGAACTCGCTCGCGTTCTCCCAGGACCGCGCCGTCCAGGAGGACATGAAAGTGGCGGAAAACCTGATGACAGACGCGCGGAACTCCAAGACCGTAGGGGAACTTGAGCTACGAGCCCACGCCGGATCCGAGTGCAACTTTGACTCGCGCTTCTTCCCTTTCCGAATCCTCCAGCTGCTGCCCAGTCTCTATCGGCTGGAGGGGGACCGTCTCCGCGGCGCCATCCGAGGCAAACTGGAGTCCGTGGCGGCGGAGGTGGCGGCCGTGATGGATGAGGAGCTGGAGGTGGGCACACACACCGAAAGCTCATCGGCGCGCTTCGCTTGTGGCATTTGTGTCGCTTTTTCTGGTCCCCGCAGACGATGCTGGCGTCCATGTTGGAAGCGGCCTCGGTTTTGTGTCCTCACGTGATGAAGATGAGCGGTCTGGGTTCAGACCTGCTGAAGGCGGGCGCGGGGAAGATGAGCGTCCCTCGCACGTTCATCACCAAGACGCTCCTGGAACAGGCGGGCGTGGACATCCTCAACAAGATCAGGTGGCGGCGGGCGCGCCCTCTGCGAATCGGCACCTCCGCCTCCGCCTCGCAATGACCTCCAATGGTCCTCCTCCTCGTGAGCTTCTCGACTTGTGTCTTCATCCCCAGTGAGCTGAAACTCAGCGTGGCGTCCTTCTTCTCCGATCGCATCGTAGACCGGATCCTGGACTCTTTGTCCATGTGGCGCCACACGCTGGTCAGTTGCCATTTTCCTCCTCTTTTCAACCGCCGGCCGGCCCCCCTCGCTTCGTGGCTTCTGTCCTTCATCCGGCTTGCCGCCATCTGTTCCGCCCCGCTCGCGTCTGTCCATCTGCAGGCCAGCCACGTGGCGAGGCAGGGCCAACCCGCGCTACGTCCCGAATCTCTGGAGGAAACGCAGGTTTTGGATGAGACGGTCCTTCATCCGGAGGGCGGCCAGAGGGAAGGCCGAGCGGACGCTTCCGCGGTGGGAATTTCTCCTCCTCCCGGTGAGGTTTCTTGGCTAAGTCGTAAAGGCGCATCTTTCCGCCCAGGTGACGGCCAAATCCAAACGGAAGAGTATTCTGGTGCGGATGTTGCGACCGGTCTCCGTGGCCTTTGGTAAGTCGCGGCGGATGCACCACCTCTTTCTTGACTTTCCGTGGGAAACCTGCGGCGTTGATCTCAGAGATGGAGTTTGACCTGGACAAGGCCCTGGAGGAGGTCCCCGTTCACGTGGTGGACCCACCGCCCTCGTCCCCGCCGCCCTCGTCCCCGCCGCCCTCGTCCCCGCCACCCTCGTCCCCGCCGCATCCGGTGGCCGTTTTCCCGCCTCTCGCCTCGCCGCCGCCGCTGCAGCATCACACCAAAGTGCGGCCGAAAGCCAGGAGGCGAAACAAACCCAGCAGAGTCGGCGTAGGTCGCCGGGAACACAAAGGTCGGGCAGGGGGTACCGCGTGAAACTTTGAGGATTTCCTTCTATTTTCTTGCAGCGTGAGGCACCGGAGCAGTTGGAGCTTCAGGGCACCATGGGAAAGCTGGACGAGGGTGTGGACGAGTTCTTCTCCAAGAAAGTCCTGCAAGTCAGCTTGAAGTGAGATCCTCACGCCGCCCGCTCCCTTGAGCGAACCCGATGCGGAGCAATCACGCGCGCCTTCTTCCCCACGCAGACGCCGCGCCGCGCAAGCTGCGCCGTCAAACGCGCACCGGTCGGCCGACAAGAAGCGGGGGTCCACGAGGAGTGGCTTCTTCAACCTCGCCAAAGGGCGGACATCCTGCTCGGAGAAAAATCAAGGGGCCGCGTCCCCCACCCCCGCGCACGCGCCCCGGCCGGTTATGTTCGCGGACGAATCGCCGCCCGCGTCGCCGCCCGCGACGCCCTCCTCACGACAGCGGCAGTCCCTCAGAGCCCGTCCCCAGGAAGACGGCCCCCCGCTTCCGCGGCACGTGGGCATCCCCGTCATGGGCGCCGACCTTCTGGCGGAGATGAAGGCACGGCAGGAGAAAATGGCCGCTCACAAGGTGAGCAAGGTAACCGCGATACAAAAACGATTCACTTCCATGGCAACAGGGTCAAGGATTCCCAACCGTCAGGGGGAGGGGACGTGCCGCTGATTGGCTGGCAACCGGTTCAGGGTGAGCCCCGCCTACTGCCCGAAAACGGCCGGATGCGGAGGGAGGGAGGGGATATTATCAATTGATAAATGGGGCGCTAAGAACAGTCAGTCGGCAAGTGCCGTTGTCAGTGGGGAATGACTCCAAGTCGATAAGTTCTCAAAGTAAAGTGTCAAAAGGAAACCAAGTAGGTCCTGGAAGTATGCGAAGTGAGTGGTTGGCTCCTTTTCTTTCTGGAAGCTTTGGAACGGTTAACAGACAGAGTGAAAATAAAGAATTCCTTTTCTTTTTGGGTCTAGTTGGAGTCATCAGAAGAAGATGGCCACATGGGTAAGTTCACGCTAACGCTAATGGCAGCACCGATGCTACCGCCTAAGCGTCGACCGCTTTCAGTGGCTATTCAGTGATGCAACCCAACTCTTAATAACTCCTTAACATCACAATATGGACCCCACCCCCCAAAAAAAGAAAGAAAAAAACACCACTGCTCATTTCCTCCATTTTATGCAGTGGACTGGGGAAAAAAAAATGGCCACTGAAATTCCAGTCGTAGCGATTCAGGATGCACTGAAAACGCAGCGATTGCGTTTTCAGTCCATCGCGCGGTGTCCTTCCAGCCAACTTGGCCACGGACGCAGACCGATCCCGAGCAGAGGCCGCCCCGAGGTCCGAAGCGCCCGCCGCCGTCGGCCCCGAGTGGCCGCTCCCACCGTCGGCCGCCGAATCCCCGACTGCCTCCGGTCCCTCGGGTTTCCCCAGTCTGCCCAGTCCCCTGAGCCCCAGCGGCGCCGTTGTGCCAGGTAAGGGGTGGCGAAAAGATGCTCCTGAGAAAACACATGACACACGAGGATGCGCGGCAAATGCCGGCCGCTGCCAAGCCGACATGTTAGGATGCCGAGTTATTCCGACGAGTGATGATGCTGAGCTCCGAGCCCGGCGGGGGGGCCGCCGCCCCACCCTGTTTTCCGGCTCTCCCGGCTGCAACGTGGCCGATTCGGGTGATCAGCTCTGAAGCAGCATTCGAAGCAACCGTTTGAAGCAATCGGGCGTGTTGCTCCTGAGGGAGCCGGAAAACGGGCGGGACCGACTTCGGACGCCCCTGCGCTAAGCGAACGCGCCGGGTTTTCTGTCAGACGATTCCACGACAGAGGCGGTCCAAGTTCCACTTCCTGCTCCTCGCGCGAAGAGGGCGCCGTCGCCACGCAAGTCAAAGCAAAGCGATGGATGCCAAGTCAGCGACTCAGCGTTACCCTCCAACAAAGAGACTAAAACGAGTCCGCTCAGACTTGGACGCCACCAATCTATTCCGAACACTCTGACTGAGACTCGGACTGTGACAATTTACTTGCTAGCTGTGAACACTCTGACGACAACAGAACTACTCCGGACGCTTTAGTACTGTCCTACGAATCAACTCCTACTCCAGCAGTATTGTCGAGTACGGCGCTCCGGTCCAAGCTCGCTACGTGTTTGGGTGACCTTTGTAACAAAGTGTGTCGTGGATTTCCCATTAGCCTGCGGCGTTGCCGCCGCATCGTTGCCCCGGCGACCCTGGTCCTCCCTCAAGACGTCGCCGCGCCGGGGTCTGGATGGGCGTCGGCGAGCCAAGTCCCTGCCCGCCTCCGCTCCGGCGCCATAGGCTCGGACGTCTCCCCAAACGACGACGACGACGACACGACCGCCGAAGCTCCGAGCGCCGTCGATCGGAGACCCGACGCCCCGATCGGAAGGGGGCCCA